ATATATTATATATATATATATATATAACTATTTGTTTTAAAAATCAACTCAACCTCGTATTTGGAAAACCATACCGAAATTGGTATAGGGAAAACCATCGAGTTGGGGATGGTATATGAACTCTTAGTGCTTAACAGACACAACCATGGCCATGGCAACCAAACGTTGCGTCCTGATTTAAGTGTATTTAGGCATCCTCTTCAAAATATATTTTTTTAAAAATAAATAATATACATATTTTAAAGGAGAAATGAATGTTTTTTTGCCCTCTCAAGATGGGGCCCGTTGTGTTTAACCTCTTCGCAACACCTCTCCATTCTCACGATCCTTGCGACTGCTAACGGAGTAAAACTGTAACGACGAAAATGAGCTAAAAAGAGCAATGTAGAGGATATTTTAAAACAAAAATTAAATAACTCTGTTATCGGACACTCCAGGTACAGGTCAAAATAAATGACTGAACAGCCATGTTCTCTTGTGTTACTCACCGGCTTTCCACTTCCATTGGATCAAACAGTGGCGACAAGCAAGTTCTGAAGGCAGGACAAGTTCGTACTCGATTCTTCCATATGCCTTTGGACTCAAATGGAATCGGGTACGCCCTTTCTCGTCGGCTAATAGATTCTGATCCAGGCAATCCTGGGTGGCTTCGATACCGCCAGTTGTGGCGATGTCACAGATCCGAAACTCGTTCCAGCCCTAAGGAGTCGACATCTGAGAATGTCAGAAGTTAAACGAATCCGGTTCTTTCCCCTTTCTTTACGTCTCTCAAAATTCTCTCTATCTCCTGCAAACATGTACACACAAGCACCCACGAACAGTCACGCTGAACACTCAGTAGACCATGTTGGAATGTATTGAATTGCATCCGTTTGTTGTGCAAGCGTAACAACATTCCCAGAAGTTAATATCAGAGGTTCTAAAACTTTGTTGTTTTCATTAAATTTGAACTTCTTGAGATTATGTTAATCTTGATAAAAAAATCTTTCGTTATATTCAGGGCCGGATTTACCTATTTCTTCGCCCTAGGCTCAAGAAAATGATTCTGAGCCTCACAGCCCCCAAAGACAAGTGGATCTAAAATCATCTTTTTACTGGTCCACCCGTAAAAAAAGTGTGGAGGGGGGGAAACATTTTCTTCTATATGAGTTGCTACGGACTTCTCACAGTGCCTTGCGAAATATTGCACAGTGCTTAGAATAATTGTATTTCCACTTTTAATTCAATGTGAATTCTAGCGGTCGCGGTGCAAGAGGCGTAGCGAGGGGGGGGCAGGGGGGCCAGATGTCCCCGGGCGCAAGCTAGTTAGGGGCGCCAAAATGTACTTTGATATTATATTATTGGTAAAAATAATGGGTTTGAGAGTTGAAAAAAAGAAAAGGGGGCGCTTTAAAATGTATCTTGTCCCCGGGCGCCAAACACCCTCGCTACGCCTCTGCGCGGTGCCAACAGTAACTTACTTGAGCAACTACTGTTTGCAGTAACTAGATAACGCTCAAACACATACAAAGCTGTTGTTTTACTTTTACCCAACAGTTTATTTTATTCTGTCTGTGTATTGGATATTTAGAAGTGGACTTGTTAGGATTTTAACACAGGGCGCCTGTTGTAAACCTAAATTTACTGGCATAGGCGCCGCGAATTAAACAAATTGTAGGAACCACTGGGCTAGCCCAACAGGATATACGTCACATGATGCGCGTTGAAGATACGTTTGACGAAATATTACTGTAAGACCTCTACTGCTTAGTACAATCTTAATATATCTCACAAATTAATGTGTGAAAAGTACATGCCAACATCATGACTAGAATTCCTAGATATCATTGATTGATCTCTTTTTTTTTTTTTTTTTTTTACAGCATTCGAGATACAAATATTAACATGTTAGGCGGTCAGAATTTCAGAATTATTTTTTTAGAGTTTTTTAATTAATTAACGTACTTTCTTTAGGCGGTCAGAATTTCAGAATTATTATTTTAGAGTTTTTTAATTAATGAACGTACTTTCTGGCGAGATGCCCCCCCCCCCAACAACAAACCTCAACCTACGCCAAAACTCCAAACACTACCACAAAACCCCCCCCCCCCCCCACTTTTTTCCCAGTTCGCACGTAGTATATTACTATATTGGATGAGCCATTAGCTTATTTTAAACAAATATTATTTTTAAAGTGAACTAAAACTAGTTTATTTGGGTTATTTCAAATTATTCCCAGTCATACGCCATAGAGTTACAAGGTAAAACACGCGATTGATAAGGAAATCTCACAACACGTCAGCAAATGTAGAAAGTGGGGCACATTAAGAACTTATTGATGCGTTTTAAAAATGTCCAAACCACTCACCAAAAGATTCGCAGTGATCTCGAGCGTCACGGTGATGACGTCACCCCGGGAATAGGTTTTAGGGATGATGCCGTGTTGGACCATTGACCCGTTCGGCCTCTCGTAGTCACGTGACCCCGACCAGGAGTCACCACACAATCCGCACTGACCGTCGTTCACCCGCCACTGGATCTGAGAGGTGTGAGAGGAGGTGGGGCATCATTATTATGTAACATTATTTTACTTAAAATAGATGACGTGAATAATTGACGCTCATGTGAAGGTCGCTTAACGAATCGATTTCAATCGAATTGTGATTTTTTTGTTGGCATCCGTCCGTCACAATCTGACGATGGTGCAGGGGCTTCGTAGGACGAAATCCACAAGGCCTGGGATTATTCTTCTAGGATTATAGGCTGTTTCCTCTCCTCATCCTCATGTCCCTTAGTCCTTTGACCGTTG